GGGAAACCAAACCGAAGACCGGAATCTCAGAAAAAAAAGAATTATCTTAAAAGAAGTATAAATCAACCACGAAGACACATGAAGCCAATAGATAAATGAAAACGCTTTAAGCAGCGTTTTTTGTGCAAGTAGCTAGTTCGGAACTAAGAGCTTTGGAAGAAGAGCTGTTAAGCGATTTGTTCAAATTCCGGATGAAAAAGGTTTGTCATAAAACACATTGTAACTTGTGTAAATGTTTTTCTCATTCCCCATCTCTGTTCGTGTTGTTCCTATGAGACCATTGATTCTTCAAGTATCTGCTGTTCGTTTTAAAAATTTATCTATTTTTAATTTGTTATCCTGAACTGGTCATGTTTTGCTCACTCCGTACTTGTGGTAGTGTCTCAAGGTACAATGTGTTTTATGACAAACCTTGTGTGTTTTATGACAAACAATGTGTTTTATGACAAACCTTTTCCATCCGGAATTTAAACAAATCGCTTAACAGCTCTTCCAAAGCTCTTAGTTCCGAGAGGGGGGGGGGGTGGATCTAACGAATTATCAGACAGCACAAAAAATGAAGCCTCCGAATGAAATTGAAATTATGTTGACCGAGATGAAAAACATTGACGACATCGAAAGTTCTTTTGAGAAAAACAATTGGAGACAATAACTAAAACGTAAAAACAGCATCAATTCATAACAAGAAAAATCTGACGTGAAGACACATATTTATTTTTCACTATTTGCATTTGTTAAATTAGACAACAATAATAAGCATTGTGGAGCCCAACCTCCCATAATATTTGGACAACGGCAACAAAAATCTTTGAGGCACAACGATCAGCAACAATGACCCATGGCAAAATGAATATAAATACAGTTTACTGAAAACAAAAAATGCCTCACAAAAAAGCCTCACAAAAAATGCGTGCTAGGGGCTGCAAGCAAAAACTAGACATCGACGCTTTGCGCGGTAAATCTCCGTAAATCGGTAAAAATACGAAATCAAATGCTAGAATTAATGAGAATTTGACTTCGAGCCGGCCTGAGCGCTCTGTTCATACGCAAGGCTGTAAACCTTTGGTCCAATCATTTTCAAGTTAGTCTTTCTTACGTTCATTTTATTTTCTCATTTCAATTTAAGCTATGAGCGAGAACCTCCAACGCCCATAAACAAAAAACAGGAGCGAGCTTAACGTTCGTTGCGGTCTTAACAAGGACGGATCGTGAGCAACCGTCCTTTCCATAGTTTAGCTTAACGATTCGGGCGATAGGTAGTACCCACGCCGACTATCAGGTTCAATCACCCATACAAGATCATACGCGAAGCCATGTAATTAGTTTATTTTCAGTAAATTCAGTGTATTGTGGTCTATTCAGTACCAATTTAACCACTCTCTATTGTTATGTTACGGTAAAAGCACATATGAAAATTCAGATATCAAATAACAGTTTTTTAACTTTTAACAAAAAGACAGTATCAATGAAAAAATCAAGTTATGAAGGAGTAGCCTTCGAAGTTGGAAATTTTGGCACGAAAGAAATTTCGACGCGAAGTTCTAACGAAGTTTAACCGAACAAATATATCGCAAACACAAATTGTGAGCTCTAAAATTGACAACACTATTTGCCCAGTCAAAGGACATTCTTTGAATAGTGAAACCAAGCAAATGATTGGACGTTGATATCGTTTGTTTCTTTGTACCAATGTACCCAAATGGAACAAACTCGAGAAACTAACGCGAGAACTTTTCACGATTGAATGGACAACGAAAACATTCGAACAATATCTGTTCGAAAAAAAACACGAGAGGAAGAGATCATCAGGCAATTTTGTCAGTGTTAAAAACCAAAAAGGCTAAGAAAGACTGATCATTCAGGATCAACACGGTTGTTCGATTGCTAACATTTTTTTAGTATATATCATCAGGGGCGCATCTAGGATTTTCTCGAGGGGGGGGGGGGGGGGGAGGGGGGAGTTTCAAAAAAATTTCGACCTTTTTTTTCTTTAGGTCGACCAAATTGATTTTATGAGCTTTTCCAAATCACTAAAAACTCCCCATTTTGACCGAAATTTTGCCACGTACGCAATTTTTTGAAAAAACAGTCCAAAATGACGTTTTTAGGCACTTGATGAAAAGTTTTGACCAAAATAGTTTTTTTTTCTGCGCGCGCTCCTCTCTCGCAATTAGTATATTTTGGCGCCAGAGGCACCTTCAGAAAATTTTCAAGCTCAGTCAGCCAAAAAGGATATCACAAAAGGTATCCCTAAGCATCCGCCCCCGCCCTCACCCCCTAAATTCGCTGGTGCATATCATGCATCTACCGGGGAAGGACATAAGTATAATAGAGTCTAGGATCAGTGCGCAGAATTGTTAGAGTAATCGAAAAGGAGTCGTCTAGATGAGAGACCCGGAAAAAAATTCTGTTCGAGCAGTGGAATTTCGGGATGATTGTAACAGCAATGCGAAGCAGTCGGAGGAGCTACGGAAGGTTTTAATAGACGCCTACAGAATGGAGTTAGCAGAGCATTAGCAGACCCAACGCAGAAAAGATTCAATCAGTTGGAGCAGTATCTGTTTAGATGGAAATGTGGCCCTAGACTTAAGCAGGACCTAGGATGCGAAATGGGAGACGAGTCTGGACGAACAAAAAAAGAAGTCGAAATAGAAAGGAAGAGAACCGAAAAGAGACGATTGATAAAGTATAAAAAGGTTAACGAAATTAACCGTTCCGCTTTAAGCAATGTGCGAGAAAAACAGTTCTTTAAACAATGTGCGAGCAAATTATATTACGTTATCTTATAGAAAAAAACTCAGTTGTGGTAGAAAATTTCTTCCAACGAGTGGGGGAAGAATGGACACTGCGTAGCTGCAGTAGCCATTTTTGGTCTTATTTTTGTTACTAAAATAATTTATTGATATCCAAGTTGCTTCATGTGCTGATCTTTAGGACATTCAGTGCTTTATTACATATCCGAAATTGACGATCAGTTACTCACGCTTTGTTTTTATGAAATGTTAAAAAGATACGTAAAATCAGCTTTCGCACAGCAGTTTTTCTAACCTTCAACATAAGGCTAGCACAGTATGATGATACAACTGTTCTTTAATCTTCAATCAGCGAGAAAAGAAGAAAATCAAAAAAGAAAATTCACGCAACTGAGAATCACGAAACTGAGAATATAACTTTGTTTTACATATGCTAAAGCCAAGAACCAACGCTGATTTTTTTCATCATTCAAACGATTTAGCACTCCAATCGGCGTTGTTGGTATTTAAAAAATACTCCATTTTCCTTTTTTTAGTTCTGCAGAAACACAATTCTTCCTAAATTATGCTGCGTTTTTCTATTTTTCACGATATTGATTCTAAGAAGTATGGCTCTTTTAGCTAAAAAGTTTTGTGCATAAAATTTTTTCCCAAACAAAATCGTTTTTAGATACCTACCTTCCTCTTCAGAAAAAGGTTATTTTGAAGCCATAATCGCCTTTCAATCATTCTGTTATTCAATTGGCAGAAAATCTAAGCAGTAAATAGTACCAAAAGCAGATCCAATTTCTTTACTAAAAAAATTTAACAATTTTGAAGCAAAGTTGACATAAAATAAAACCAAAAAGTAGTCCGGTCAGAAAATATACAATGACAGGCGCGCAGTCGCTTACACGTCTTGTCAACACAAGTTAAAAGCAGATGCAAAAATTAAAAGCAGATGTTATCTTGTTGTTCAGATTTTCGAAGGATATATATGCGAGGTTTGGTTTTTGTTCCATTTTTTGAAGAAAAGAGAATGTTTATGCTTTTTATGGTTTTTTATTCAGGCAACTTTTTGCGATCGAAATCTTAGTTTTTACCCAAAAGTTTTTTATGCCCCGTTGAAGATATTGACTCTCTGGATTCAAAATTAAAAAGTTATTTTACTTTAAACTTTTATCCATAAATTTAGATTTTATCTACAATTCTGACAGCGTAACGCTAATTATCCCGCACCACAAAAACCTTCTAAATTTGAATTGAGGCTAGCAAAGGGCTTACATAAATTTCGTACGGAAAAAAATTCACACTTGACCTTTGATATTGTCCAAAATTTATAGTTTATCAATTTTTTTTAAAGCTATTCGATGTGGATAGAGGGGCAGTCGGGACATTGTTTTTCATTCAGATGGATTATAGAAAAAATGACTGAGTATGGACAACGATCCCTAAATTTTGGGATTGTCAAACGACTATGCTTGCACAAGACTAAAGAGCTGCTTTGATGCTGGAATATTTTGTTTCAATAAGCAAATTGTTTCTGCGTGGCAAATTATCCGCGCTCATAATTGTTCCAAATTGAATTGAGGCAAGCTAATTGGCCTTATTAATTCCATAAACGACTCAAATTTTAACACTTTGATCGGCCTAAAATTTGTAGTTTGTCAAAACTTCACATGCCAAAAACGATTCCAGACCAAGTAATGGGCTAAATTGGAACATTCAGGTTTTATTAAGGTATTATGACCAGGTATACACGCTGGAAAGGACCAACATAGAAGCTGTACAGGTCAACGCGACGAACCTCTCTTGTGTCCTTGTTTAAGAACGACATGCAATTTTTTGGTTATTTTTCTGGCTGGGTAAGGCCGCCTCACCCTACAGAACTGAGCATGGATCATGGTGCGCCTCGTACATCCGACCTTTCGATTGAGAGGCGGAGACGTAACCACTTCACCACCGCTCGCTTCGTTTTGTCCTGCTGTGATCAGTCTTGTTACTTTGTATTTTAATTTAGTATTTGATAATGTTAGGTTTGTCCTAATAAAACCGACTCAAAAATTTCATAGCTAAATCAGTGTATCATCACCTCTGTAACCTGTTATCGCTGAATCAATTTTATGAAGCATTTGTTTCGAAAAACCATACCCAATGTTTGTTGCAGAATATTTTTACATATATAACAGCCTTCTGCATTAAACCGAAAGATCCTCAGAAAAATGACTGCCAATCACAATTCAAAGAGTCAATGAAATATGATTAAGACCGAAAAAACACCATTTTAAATTGATTGTTCTGCATATTTCACAAATCGAGCTAACTACAATGGTTTGAGTTATCAAATGAGTCTATTCAATGAGCTATTCGCGACTGCCGCCACATCCGTCAGACAGTGAGTCATCGTCATCGCTTGTGGAGACCTTTTCCAAGTCGCTATGCTTGATTCCATAGAAGAAATAAATCAACAGCCCGATGGAAATCCACACAAATGACCTGAAAAGCAAATGAATAAAAACTAAGAAACAACGGGTGACTAAAAAAATAAAACGAAGTGCGAAAAAGCTAGAATTTTAGCCATTTTAGCCTACTTATTATCAGAAAAATTATCACTTAATTCCGAATGGGTGGGATTTACAGGGATTATTTAGGAAAAAGCTAACAAAAAATCAGGATGAGTTGCAAGCTTCCTCATATTTTAAATTGAAAAGTAAAAATTTTCAGGACATGCCTCGACAAATCGCACAGTTTTTATTCATGTCCTTGGTTTTGGGATCTCTTTAACTGTTCATCCCCCTTTTTAACGAACGAAGTAGATTAGTTACAAGGCACAAAATTCACATATGCTTAACCGTTGAATTAGTTATTTTATGGGGTAGAGGGGAGATTCGTTACTTGGTGTCATAGAGGGAAGGAAATTATAATAGTTCTACTTGTAAGCGAGAAAACTAAGTCTGTCTCTTTTATCTATTGCCATACTGCCTAAATAATTTCAAATTCCTAAGCTTTACAAAACTCTGTGGTTACCTGATCCAAGTGATAGTACTCAATTGGACCATGAGGTAGAAATTGACGAATATTGAGAAGGCGGGAAAGAAGGGGACCAATGGCACTCGATAAACTGTTTCTGTGACAAGGTTCGTGTTCGATAGTCTCCAAAAGCACACCAAACAAGACATCATTGCAACCAGACAACAAGCACTTATCACTTGTCACAACAATAGTAGCTGAGCTGCTAAGCTCCGAGTTTTGCGCTATCCTCAGAAAAATACAAGCCAGAAAAGCAAAGACAAGAAGCCCCACTGCTGATATACACTGTCGCTGGTTCCACGTGTTATTTTTATCATTTCGGTTATCAATACTTAAGTTTTGATGATTTTCAGGTTCATTTTTGTTCTTTGTCTCAATCAGGGGGATTTTTTCATCGGATAAAAAATTTTATTAGCCTCCTGCTGAAGAAACTTTAGTGAAGTTGTTCTGAGTTTGATCACGGCGAAAGCGACGAATGCGTACGCCAAAAGGTTGCCGAACGCCAACATTTCTGTCAAATCCTGAAGTGGTATAAAAAACGTCATCAGAATTGTAATTGTGGCGCCAAAAATAGTTGCAAAAATTGGAACCTGGGTGGACCTATTGACTCGTGATAAAAATCTGAACAAGAGTCCTTCGGACGAGATTGCGTACGTGATTCTAGAAGTGCACATTATGTTGGAAATAACCGTGCAAGAAAGAGCAAAAATTGCCCCAATGGACACTATGTTTGCAGCCCAATGCATTCCGTTGTAATCGAGCGCCGAGGACAATGCAGTTGTTTCGGATATTTCCAGATATGGTACCATCAAAGTCAGAGCGAGCGCCAACGAAGACATCAGTGCTGTCATAGAAGAGATCAAGTTAAATCACGCTTCTTTCTACCCCAAACTAAAAGGACTCAAAAAAGGCTATCTGTCAACCTGCTTTTTCTAGCCCCAGTTTCTTATGTTTATGTTTATTTTTAAATTGCCTAGCTAAGTAAAAAGTCAGCGTATAATATAATATCAACGATGAGAGTCGACCAACTCAGACAGTGTCGGAAAATTGAAACAAAAAGTGGGACCTTCAATTCCTGCTTCAAAATACAACATGCATATTTTGAAGCAGGAATTGAAGTCCTGAATGAAAGGGAGAGAGGGCGTCACTTATGGGAGGGGCGGGCCGTTATTATCTGACAAAATATGATAACTTGATCCCTGTGATAAAAAGAACGGTGAAAATGAGTGCTATGGGCACTGATCGATTGGGATCTTTGGCTTCCTCGCTGCCGACCGTAATGGCATCGTATCCTGTGTACGCAAAGTATGCCCGCGAAGCTCCTTCGAATACAGAAGAGACTCCGTTCGGTAGAAAATCGTTCGTCCAGTTGGGCCAGTCGGCCAAGATGAAGCCCATAATGACAACGAATAAGAGCGTGAGAAGGTTCAGACTGGATAAGACATTATTTACCACAGTCGTCTGCCGAATTCCTAAAAAAACTAAGAATGAAATTTCTTTAACAAAATACGAAGTTATCGGAACAAAGGTGAAAATAAGACACTCAAAAATGTCTTGAACGTTAGCCTAATTTTGTGGTTAAACTATTAAGCAACAATGGAACCTGTTAACCTATCAAGCAAATAGTTCATCGCACACAAATAGTAGACCGACGAAATGATCCAAAAAAATGAATGCCCAACTAATGTTGAATTAGTGAATGATATTATTGAAGAAACTTAAGATCACAGTAATCAAGGTACGGCATACTTAAAGTAAGAAAGATTGAGGTGGCGGATCTAGAGCAACGGATATCAGACAAGGAACCTCCACATATCAGTATCAAGAAGGCGGCATTAAAACTGATTGACACCAGGAAAATTATCAGCGAGTTTTCATGAGCAAACGTGACGAAAGTGGTTTAGCTGATATAAAAGCTTTTTCCATCTCAGTAAGAATAATGGAACGTTTCCTCCGAAAGTGATAACCAATTTGTATTTTTTGAAGACAACAGCAACTTGTACCAATAGGCGAACCAGAGCTTCGCATCACTTGCGATGCAACACAGACATAAAAAACCTAAGATTTCGGAAAAATAAAAAAATTTGGAAAAAAACTAGGTCTACCAAAATTTTCGATAAACGCTCATTCTAGACAAACATGCCAAACAAAACATTTGAATATTAAATAAGCAACGGAACCAAACTTACGAAACGGAAGCAAGCCCAACAATCATTAAACAGACACCAATTGAGCCAAAACAATTTTTTCTGCCACACCATGGATTTTCCTAGTGCTGAGAGAGAGCAAATTTCGCTATTGCTGCAAAGAATGTATTTTGTAGTTTCAGTGCAAACTTGATTTTTTTTTGACAACAGAATTTTTTTTCCAGCTCAAGTCCGCCGTGAAACTGCAATGAACAAAAGTTGCAACTCAAAAGCAAACTGCTAACAACACAAGAAAAGTCCGTGATGTGTAACATTCGCCCGGAAGTACAAATCGACGGGAAAAAAGCTAGGTTCTAAAACGACTGGCCAGCGTCTAAACACAGCTCTACAGGCCTAAGCCAGTTCTTTTGATGGTCTTTCTAACATCGGGTCGACAAAACGTTACTGTTTCCGGCTTCGATCAGAACGCTCTAATTAACTTAATTAGATGCATACACAGTGAGCGCATGGCTGGGTCTCAGTATCCCCAGACCACGAGGTCACTCCTAAAAACAGGGCTACTACATATTTATCATATTACTATTATTTATGTTCAGTAGATAAAAATCATCATCTTCATCGAAAATGGATCAACCTTTCCCTCAACTCCTAGCTTCTCATAATCTGAAAACAAATTTAGATGTTATTAATTCAATTCAGGACATGACCAGAAGCTAAAAGTTCATAAAAACAGAGAGTTACAGTTTTGTCCCGAGACCCCTCCGGATTCTGGAACCGGGCAAATAACAGTCTTATTTCTTCCCGGAAGGCTGGGCACGTCGTCCCAATACCCTTCCTGGTTCTCGGGATTCGGGTTGTGACGATTGTAGCGACACAATCTTTACAACTCGGAATGGTTTTCTGATAGTTGTGTTCTAATTCAATCTCGATCTGTATCGCACAATTGCCGTTCACCGTTTTTCTCCACGAATTCTGTTGGTCTTTTTCTTTTTGCAGTTTTCAGTTGTCGCAAATTTTTGACGTCGTAATGTGTGTTTCTTTTCAAACGAAGTCTTAAAAATTAACACGTCAGTCCAAATTAATCATTCCGCGTTCGTCAAAACGAACGCTTAACACCGTTAATGTGCTAAAACCGCCAATTTTCCCGCTCAGCTGTCACAAAAAAAATTCGAATTCGAACTTGCATTTTGAGACATTCTGTTCGAATATCACATACTCCCCGGACAGCCCGGTCAATGTCATCATTGAGTCTCGTAGTCTTCATCGAAATGGTACAGTGTCATCGAACAGAATTTATAAAATGCATAAAATCACTTTTATCCACGTCATATCGACTCACTGCAGAAAATAAATGGCATCATACCACACTATTTTTGCCTTCCAAATTCTTTCACCAATCTGCACTTTTCGAGGATATACTTAAGATAAAACATCTTTTCAGACTTCCAATGTCTATGTCCCGACTTAAAAATTTTTCTCCTAGGTTTAAAAAGTGTGGGAACGCAGGACAGTCCTGCCAACCCACAAGCTAAAATTATCCTACTATGCTTCTTCCTTTTGTAAATCTAGTTGTCATTGGTCCTGAAGATTGAAATTAAGAAACTCAGTAGTTAGAAGGAACAATGAAATATTCTCCCTCTTCAAGAGATTACTCAAGCCTTTCATATCACCACAAAGTTGATTAAAAACAATCATGCAGGCTAGAATATTCAAAATACTCTCCACTCAAGCCTCTCTAAATGAAAAGTAAGTGTCTCTAAAGCCATTTACTAAAATCACAATGCAAATTTATAAAAGCAACAAATTCTTTAATCTTTAAAAATCAACTAAGAATTTTCTCTTCAGTTTTAATTGCCAGCTTAGTTGCTTTGTTTTTCATTTGAGTTTTTGACATACAAAAAAATATTTTACATTGAGTTTTTTACATTTTCTCTTTCAAAATTCCTTTGCTCGCTTTTTTGTTATTTTTTCTTTGTTTTAGTCGTTTAGAAGTTGTAAGACTTCTAAATTCTTCTAATTTTTTTCTTTTTGCGTCTTGTTTTTCGACTGTTTGTCATTGTTCCATCTCCTCCTCCTGCAAAACTGACTCCGCACTTTTAGTCTCAGTGTCTTGCAACACATCGGTGGCTATTCTGACGCAGTTGCAGGCAGTCCTCCAACACTTCTGCTCTTCTACTCTTTGTTTGCATCAAGGTAGAGGATCAACGTTAGTTTCCCTATTTCGGCAGAAGCTGTTAGGGAGGCACAATGTCACGTTTCGCTCCAAGTCTTCCTTCAACATTTCTTCTCCTTCTCTCCCGTCACATTCACTCTTTCTAGACCTCCACTTCACTGCGGTGGTCACTGCATTCCGATGAGTTACAAAAGCTCGCTTGAAAGCTCGTGCTTCAATGTCCAGCTGATACGCACTATACACTCTTCTACGGCATAATCGTACAACCATGCAGTCCTGTTGGCTCTAAACCATGGCATCAGTCGTCTTCTGGCCTATATCTTTTTCACTTCCATCGGACTGTTCAGGATTTTGCACGTTGTTTCGAAAAAATTTAAATATTTTAGACAATCTAATTACTGTAACTGTTCTCTCGTCGGCGTCTCCTGTCTTTTGTTCTCCTTTACATGAGCTTCCAGCCATCGTATTGCCATCATAACACCCACTATCACTATCGCTATGGGCTGTGATGAGTCGGGTAAACTCATGGAGAGAAGCTCTCCACTGTCCCAGATCAACACCAGATTACTACGCCCGAGGTGCCATCATGTTTGTAGTCAGCAATGGCAGGGGAAGTCACATCATGTGTGAACATACTGCTCCTCCAATTTCGCTTTCCCGACGCTTCCAGTATTGGTTCCATTTCCATCATCACTGGGTGGTTTTCATCATGCTCGTCTACTGCATTGTAATCTGTGGCTGTTGATCCTTTCTGCTTCTGTCTTTCAAAATCACTGAAGTTCCCACTGGCGTATCCCAGGAATTTCTTTCCCAGTATCGGTTCTAACTCTTCTTTGGTTCTCTCTTGAACTCCACTTTGTCTTCTCCGTTGCTCTTTGAGGCGGTCGTCATCAAATTGTAAATGATGTTCAGGTCACGCAAGTTACAGTCTGAATTCAATTCCCTCTGCACATCCGGTGTCGCACGCAATATCGAATCGGCGTTAGGACTCGGACACCATGATGGTTTCATCAGTTCCCACACTACCATCAAACTCGTTCTCAGCAGTTCATCTGAGAATCCCAATTCAAACTCCACTCGATTGTCCGATTTTGGCACTGAAGGTGCAGTCACCTTTTCTTCCAACACAAGTCCCAGTTAGCCTGCTGATTACCAACGCTTCTAATCGTCGCAAATCTTGACTTCCAGAATCTTAGCAACACTGCTTGTTCGTAATCGAAGAAACAATCGCGTATGTTTTCATTAATGAAAGGGTTGTTTGCCATTCCTACGATTCCGGATACGTAACTGTACGATTTCTTCCTGGTCGGTCCGCAATATTCACTGGAGTTCGGCGGTGCTCCCATGTATTCTTTTGTGAGCCTCAGCTCTTTGTTCGAGAATCTCCTAATTTTGCCAACCTTCTGCATTGGTTCCAGTTCCACAGGCTCCTTCATGTTCACTCGCATCAGTTTACTCTTATGTATGTCCAAAAGTGCTAGTAAGAGCAAGGCTTTCGCTCGCTCATCGCCTTCTCTTAGCATCTTGACACAAGTGTTCAACGCCGGCACTGATAATTGTTCTAGCATGAATCGAACGAAACAGAGAGCGTCTCTCCGCTTCGCGCAGGCTACTGCTGCTCCTTGTTGGGTCATCAGATCTCTCACACTCGTCATTAAGAACACTTTCTCCTCTTTCGATCTTTTTCTTTCTTCCGAATAATATTCCCCGCGAGTCAGTCCAATCATACACCAAGCTAACCTAAGTTGCCATTCTGTTCTCGCATAGGGTATCGCTATCAGAGCGTGTATCTTTGGCATGGTTTTCATCTCTTCTTCGAAGTATCGTAACACTACCGCTCTCCATGGAAGGCTTGCCAACTGCTCAATCGTTTCTGCGTGCATTTCGGACGATACCAAAGTCCCGTATGCCTTCTGTTTCAGGGTGGTGCCTTGCATCATCATCTCCAAGTAACCTTCCATAGCGCTTTTGTTTTCTAGAGCAATCAAGTGTCCTCTAGTCGAGTTTCTGTACACCACCATCTCCATGTATCCACCAGCGGGTTCATCAATCGAGAAGGTTTCTGACACTGTCAGTCGGTTCTCCTCCATTGGGATTAGCTGTCCTACGACGCTTTCCTTTCCATGATTCATGGAAGATGGTTTGAATTCTCGTAGGGTACTTTCTCCACATTGGCTGAGTATTTCCATTTCTAATGTTGCTGCAGTCAGAGTGTGGGCACTCATCTTGGTTTTATAACTGGCTGATCTTAATCCTGCCATGAGAATGGGTGGCACCATCGCTACGTCAGTCAACATTCTGTCTGTGCCAGGCAATCGGTCATCACCCTGTCCCATGTCCATAGCTTCTTCGACAAGCTTTCTTTTGGCTGAGTTGACAGCTTTCATCGAGGTTTCAGAGTCCACCTTCGTTTTTCCAGCTTTCCTCAATGTCACTTTGCTGCCAAGTTTCCTTTTCATATCGTTAATCTTGTCAATTCACCATCTTTCATCGCATCGTTCTTTTTCGGGTTTTGACGGATACACTACTTCATCATTGTCTTCTTGCGGTGTTGCCTTTATAGGAGAATTTGCTTCACTTTCGTCAGTGGCCGAGTCGATCAATAACTCGCTCAATCTCCCTTCACACTCGTCGAGTTTGTCAAGGATTTCCCGCATCAGTGGTCGGTTGAGACCTGTTTTCAGCATAGACTGCGTCACGTAGCTCTGAACTACCGTCCAGACCTCTTCCATGAAGGCAACTCTATCCATATTGCATCCTGTCCTATTCTCGTGGTCTCTGTGATGAAATTCCCACTTTTCTATGGCCAACGTTCCAAAAAAAGGTATTCTGACAGTGCCTTCTATTCTTCTTCTCCTCGGAGATTTCATCAAAAGTTTCTTTTCGACATTTTTAGAATCGCTCGGAGAGCTGCTCTCCAGCAAATTCCGGTTCATTTTCATGAAGGCCGACGGAGGTTCCAGCGTAGAAGTTCCCTCCTCTGCTGGCTCAGTCGTTCCTTCCACTGAGCCGGCGTCCAAGTCCGCCCTGCCTCTCATAACCATTGGCGCCAGGTCCAGTTTCGCCACTTCTTCGTGAAATCGTCCGGGTTTCGGAGTGGCTACATTATTCATACGTCTCCTCGTCGTTTCCTCCATGTAGGCGAACTGATTATACTGCAGCACAGCAGCGTTTCTGCCCACGAAGCACGGGTCCATCATCTCGGAGAGTTTTGCCACTCTCCCTTCGTTGGTTTCGAAGGCTCTCAACCTAAGGGTTAGTACTACGGAGTCTGCTCCGAGCAATATCCTTCTAATCAAGGGAAATTCAGGGCTATCTTCCGGCAGTTTCTTGTAGTCACTCCAGACTTTCGTTTCTTCTCACACGTTTCACACGTTATGATCGGAGGGGTCTGGCTGAGTTTCTTCAGTTGATTGTACTTGATTTATTTGTCTTTGATGTTTAGGTGTATTACTCCTATAATTTTGTTGCGAATTTTGATAACGTGTGTTATTCCTATGTGCTGATTGAGAGTAGTTTCTTTGTCTGTTGTTATAGCTTGAGCTTCTGTTCTGTAAATTATCGCGTGATCTATTTTGACAAATATTATATTTTGATCTGTTGTTTGAATAATCGCGTGATCGATTATTTTGATATCTAGGGTTTCGATTGTTTGAATAGTTTCTATTCCGATCTTCTCACAATGCAAATTTATAAATGCAACAACTTCTTTAATCTTCAAAATTCAATTAAAATTTTTCTCTTCAGTTTCAATTGCTAACTTAGTTGCTTTTTTTTCATTTGAGTTTTTGACACACAGAACAATTTTGAAATTTTTACATCTTCTCTTTCAATAATCCTTTGCTCGCGGCATTGTTTTTTTTCCTTTGTTTTAGTCGTTTAGAAGTTCTAAATTTTCTAAATTCTCCTAATTTTTCTTCTTTTTGCGTCTTGTTTTTCGACTGTTTGTCATTGTTCAATCTCCTCCTCCTTCGACACTGACTCCGCACTTTTAGTCTCAGTGTCTTGCAACACATCGGTGGCTATTCTGACGCAGTTGTAGGCAGTCTTCCAACACTTCTGCTCTTCTACTCTTTGTTTGCATCAAGGTAGAGGATCAACGTTAGTTTCCCTGTTTCGGCAGAAGCTGTTGTGGAGGCACAATGTCACGTTTCTCTCCAAGTCTTCCTTCAACATTTCTTCTCCTTCTCTCCCGTCACATTCACTTGTTCTAGACGTCCACGTCACTGCGGTGGTCACTGCATTCCGATGAGTTACAAAAGCTCGCTTGAAAGCTCCTGCTCCAATGTCCAGCTGATACGCACTATACACTCTGCTGTGCTTCGACATATGCTTCTGGGCATAATCGCACAACCATGCAGTCCTGTTGGCTCTAAACCATGGCATCAGTCGTCTTCTGGCCCATATCTTTTTCACTTCCATCGGAAAGTTCAGGATTTTGCACTTTGTCTTGAAATCTTTTAGACAATCTAATTCATGTAACTGTTCTCCCGTCGGCGTCTCCTGTCTATTGTTCTCCTTTACA